AAGGCATAATTACTTCAGAATGAAAAAAGTGGGAGAGTTTGTGCCCCATCTCAGAAGGCTATAGTTATAACTTTGAAGAAAAATGATGGTGTAGAAATTATCCAAAAACATTTCTTTAGTGTTCCTTTGAAAATCCCCTTCCTGGTCAGCTTGATATAAATGGGAAATTCACTGAGCCCTTCATAGCAGCTTGAACTTGTTATTCCCTGCATTGTCATCAACAACATTACATTTGCTGAATTACTTAGCGGTTAGAGTTGTCCCCCCTTCACAATTTGCTTGAAAGGGTCATGACTGCTCATTGTGTTAGAAGGCCAAGCAGCTGAAGCTTCTTTGATGACATATTGTTACTGAGATGAAACTGTCAAGGTAAATGATGCCTTCATATTTACTGTTTGTGTGTAATTTTCCCCAGAAACGAATGCTACCTGATGTGGATATAGTTGTCAGGCTCAATGACTTAGTCATTGTCTAGCATCAAGTCTCAATGATTGCATGTGTGGCTACTTATGATCTCAATAACTGGATTGTCTGGTACAAAGTCAGTTATTTACAGATATCATGTAGCTAGAATATTGCGAAGCAACAAACAACAAACAAGTGAAAACAATTTATGCCAGCTTTGGATTAGGGAATTTGTGTGATAAATGTAGTCAAGGAAATTAAAACATGCAATATTGACCCACTGCTTTTAGATTTTGCCCATAAGTATGAAGTATAAGAACCAAAAAGAAAATAATAAATTCCATTAAAATATAAATTTTAAACTTGTTCCACTTCAAGCACATTTGGTGAACAAATCTCTTAAAATTAGTACTGTAGATCAGCTCAGTGTGCTCTTAAATATGAAGTGTGATTTGCTATGAGAAGCCAAAATGAAATCAGAAGATTCCATTGATTGTAATTTTATGGTGTTATCCCTCTTCTGATTGAATCTGTATGTATATTATACTAATATTGTACAGATTCTCTGAAAATAGGAGATATGGTCCTGTTCAAGATTCAGCCCACAGTTTTTAAATGTCAGATTATTCTGTTAGTATTAGACTTAGGAGACATTATCCCTCTCCTGGTCAAAGGCATACAGGATTAAATCAAGTTAACTCTCTTAAAGTTGTACTAATTAATGGCCTATTTGCTGTCTTAATCTGCTTTCTACATGTCTGAAATATGATCTGCTATCATCAGATTTTAAAGTTGTTTTCCTTTATCTAATTAAGGGCATATTAATAGTAAAACATAGTTTAAAAATCTCTAAACATTGGCAATATTGACCTGTTGCATGTAGACTCTGTTTCACAAGTTTCACATATGACTAAATACTACCAACAGCCAAGAGGAATCTTTAGATTCGATAACTGTAATGTTTTAGTCAACTTTACTCAAGCAGATATTGTCACAACAAGGAATAAGAATGCCATAATAACTTTACCGGATAGATATAACATGAACCTAACAGTTTACACACTCACACCGATTCAGCTTGAGTCAAATAACTATCACCCTTCAAGGGCATCACGCACAGCACACTGTTTAGACACAAATCAAACATTGCACAATCACTGTTTCCCTCAAAATACTAAAGGTTACTACATGCAAATCACTAACACATTAATAGTGTGCTAACAATCAACCCTTCTCATACAATACATCCAACTGTAGATTTTTAAGGCATATTCCCACTCTTGGTTAAGGACATGTGAGTATCATTATTACTATTTCATTATTAATGCTGTACTATTATTTCATTCAGAATTTGCTGACAAGTTTCAATTGTTATTTAACACTATAAGCTCAGAGGAAATCTTGAAATTCCATTAACTGTAAGTTTTAAACGCTTTATCCCACTTCGAGCAAAGGGCATGTCATTCATGATAACAGTTAAAAGTCTCTGAAAATAAGAACTATTGACCCAGTACATTCATAATTTTCTCACAGGTTCGAAATGTTATTCAATATCATCAGCCAAGATACCATTTTGAAATTGTGTAAACTGTAGGTTTTAAAGAAATTATCCTACTTCTGCGTGGAACGTGATTAATAATGATAGTTAGAAATCTCTGAAATTTTGAACTATTGACCCAGTATAATCACAATTTGATTGTAAGTTTAAATGCTATGTACAATGTTTGAAAGGCATTATCCCACTTCTGGTCAAAGGCACGTGATTCCTAATAATAGTTAACAACCTCTGAACATTTGAATTAGTGACCCAGTACATTCATAATTTACTGGTAGGTTTAAAATGCTATTTCCTATCATCAGCCAAGAAAACTTCTTGAAATTCCATAAACTGTAGGTTTTAAAGGCATTATCCCACTTCTGGTCCAATTCACGTAATTAATAATAATAGTTAAACATCTCTCAAAATTTGAATTATTGACCCAGTTCATTCATAACTTACTCGTAGTTTTGAAATGCTATTTACTATCATCAGCCATGAAAACTTCTTGAAATTCCATAAACTGTAGGTTTTAAAGGCACTATCCCACTTCTGGTCCAATTCACGTAATTAATAATAATAGTTAAACATCTCTCAAAATTTGAATTATTGACCCAGTTCATTCATAACTTACTCGTAGTTTTGAAATGGTATTTAATATCATCAGCCATGAAAACTTCTTGAAATTCCATAAACTGTAGGTTTTAAAGGCATTATCCCACTTCTGGTCAAAGGCACATGATTAATAATAATAGTTAAAAAGCTCTGTAAAATAGAATTGTAGACCAAGTACATTCATAATTTACTCACATGTTTTAAAGGCTATTTCCTATCATCAGCCAAGAAACCTTCTTGAAATTCCATAAACTATAGGTTTTAAAATACATTATCCCATCTCTGGTCAAAGGCACGTGATTAATAATAATAGTTAAAAATCTCTGAAACTTTGAATTATTGACCCAGTACATTCATAATTTACTTGTAAGTTTGAAATGCTATTTCCTATCATTAGCCAAGAAAACTTCTTGAAATTCCATAAACTGTAGGTTTTAAAGGCATTATCCCACTTCTGGTTAAAGGCACGTGATTCCTAATAATAGTTAACAACCTCTGAACATTTGAATTAGTGACCCAGTACATTCATAATTTACCGGTAGGTTTAAAATGCTATTTCCTATCATCAGCCCTGACAGCTTCTTGAAATTCCATAAACTGTAGGTTTGGAAGGCATTATACCATTTGTGGTCAAATGCATGTGATTAATAATAATAGTTAAAAATCTCTGTAAAATAGAATTATAGACCCAGTACATTCATAATTTACTCACATGATTGAAATGCTACTTCCTATCATCAGCCGTGATAATATCTTGAAATTCCATAAACTGTGGGTTTTAAAGGCATTATCCCACTTCTGGTCAAAGGCACGCGATTCATAATAATAGTTAAAAATCTCTGTAAAATAGAATTATAGACCCAGTACATTCATAATTTGCTCACATGTTTGAAATGCTATTTCCTATCATCAGCCAAGAAAACTTCTTGAAATTCCATAAACTGTAGGTTTTAAAGGCATTATTCCACTTCTGGTCAAAGGCACTTGATTCATAATAATAGATAAAAATCTCTGTTAAATAGAATTATTGACCCAGTACATTCATAATTTACTTGTATGTTTGAAATGCTACTTCCTATCATCAGCCTTGATAATATCTTGAAATTCCATAAACTGTAGGTTTTAAAGGCATTATCCCACTTCTGGTCAAAGGCACATGATTCATAATAATAGTTAAAAACCTCTGAACATTTGAATTATTGACTCAATACATTAATAATTTACTGGTAGGTTTGAAATGCTATTTCCTATCATCAGCCAAGAAAACTTCTTGAAATTCCATAAACTATAGGTTTTAAAGGCATTATCCCACTTCTGGTCAAAGGCACGTGATTCATAATGATAGTTAAAAATCACTGTAAAATAGAATTATAGACCCAGTACATTAATAATTTGCTCACATGTTTGAAATGCTATTTGCTATCATCAGCAATGATAATATCTTTAAATTCCATAAACTGTAGGTTTTAAAGGCATTATCCCACTTCTAGTCAAAGGCACGTCATTCCTAATAATAGTTTACAACCTCTGAACATTTGAATTAGTGACCCAGTACATTCATAATTTACTGGTAGGTTTAAAATGCTATTTCCTATCATCAGCCCTGATAATATCTTGAAATTCCATAAACTGTAGGTTTTAAAGGCATTATCCCACTTCTGGTCAAAGGCACGTGATTCATAATAATAGATAAAAATCTCTGTTAAATAGAATTATTGACCCAGTACATTCATAATTTACTTGTATGTTTGAAATGCTACTTCCTATCATCAGCCCTGATAATATCTTGAAATTCCATAAACTGTAGGTTTTAAAGGCATTATCCCACTTCTGGTCAAAGGCACGTGATTCATAATGATAGTTAAAAATCTCTGTAAAATAGAATTATAGACCCAGTACATTCATAATTTGCTCACAGGTTTGAAATGCTATTTGCTATCATCAGCCCTGATAATATCTTTAAATTCCATAAAATGTAGGTTTTAAAGGCATTATCCCACTTCTGGTCAAAGGCACATGATTAATAATAATAGTTAAAAATCCCTGTAAAATAGAACTATTGACCCAGTACATTCCTAGGTTTTAAAGGCATTATCCCACTTCTGGTCAAAGGCACGTGATTCATAATGATAGTTAAAAATCTCTGTAAAATAGAATTATAGACCCAGTACATTCATAATTTGCTCACAGGTTTGAAATGCTATTTGCTATCATCAGCCCTGATAATATCTTTAAATTCCATAAAATGTAGGTTTTAAAGGCATTATCCCACTTCTCGTCAAAGGCACATGATTAATAATAATAGTTAAAAATCCCTGTAAAATAGAACTATTGACCCAGTACATTCCTAGGTTTTAAAGGCTGCTTATCTCATTTCTGGTCAGTGGCATCTGTTGAATAACAATGCTCCTCCATAATGCAGAAAACAAAACAAAATTGAAAATGAATTTAAAGTAAATTTAATTTTTTAAGTTACAGTAAACTGAGAAAATCGTACTTCAGTAGATTTAAACCATGCTGTACAACACTTTGTAGATACTCTTTCTGTCTCTCTCCCTCTCTCTCTCTCTCTCTCTCTCTAAGACTCCATTTCAGAGCACTCTCTATTGACATCCATGTAGTTGAGTTTTGTGGATTTCTCAGTGAGGTACAAGCACGCCTCTTTCACTGCTACATAAAAAATGTATGTTGCACTGTAAAAGAAACAGAAAGACATAATCAACATACCATGTTTGCATTAGGTAGCTACATAAAGAAACATCCAGAAGAAAATGCCCTCTAACCACTGTTTTATAAAATTGACATTAGAGAAACAAATTGTGAATATATATTACCACATGTACTGCAGAGTCAGTTCTTTGAGTTTGTCGTCCACATTGTGCACATCCAAGACAGTGGTCATTGAGCTGGTGTAGGGGCAGCTGAAATAAACAGGTTCTTGATAGTAGTAGTACATGTCTTAAAATTGCATTAATGTCATGTTTAACTTTAATGAATGAATCAGTGAATGAATTAATGAAATATAAATTGATGAAGTTAAAATTTTTCATGAAGACAATTCATAACAAAAGTAGGATGTGTATTGAAACTCATCTTGGCAAGAACAGGATCAAGCAAAGCACATTCATTATATACTGATTACTGTATGTTGTTGTCACTGGATAATAACTAACCTTTTGTCTTTTGGGATACGACGTGTAAAGTTGGTTTCAAGCCACTTCAGGAGGTGTCCATAGAGCTGCGGTTTCAAAATTCAAACATTCTCATGAAACATGTAATGTTCATTTGTGGGTGTGGCTGTGGGTGTGGGGTGGTGTTGGTGTGGTTGTGGGTGAGGGTGAGCGTATTGGTATGGGTGTGGTTGTGGTTGTGGGAATGGGTCTGGATTGGTGTGGTTGTGGATGGGTGAGTGTGGGTGTTGGTGTGGGTGTGGTTGTGGATGGGTTTGGGCATGGGTCTGGATTGGTGTGAGTGTCTGCATAGGTCTGGATTGGTGTGGATGTGGTTTTGGATGGGTGTGAGTGTGGATGTGTGTGGGTGTGAGCATGGGTCTGGATGGGTGTGGATGTGGTTGTGGATGGGTGTGGGTGTGGGTCTGGATGGGTAATGGTGTGGATGTGGATGGGTCTGGATGGGTCTGGATGTTTTGATTGTGGATGGGTGGGTGTGGGCATGGCTCTGGATGGGTCTGGATGTTTTGATTGTGGATGGGTGGGTGTGGGCATGGCTCTGGATGGGTCTGGATGTTTTGATTGTGGATGGGTGGGTGTGGGCATGGCTCTGGATGGGTGTGGTTGTGGATGTGGATGGTTGTGGTTGTGGATGTGGATGGGTGTTGGTGTGGGCATGGGTGTGTATGTGGGTGTGGGTGTGGTGCGGTTGTGGATGGATGTGGGTGTGGGTCTGGATGGGTGAGGGTGTGGAAGTGGATGGGTGTGGGCATGGGTCTGGATGGGTGTGGTTGTGGATGTGGATGGGTGTTGGTGTGGGCATGGGTGTGGATGTGGGTGTGGTGCGGTTGTGGATGGGTGTGGGTGTGGGTATGGATGGGTGTGGTTGTGGAAGTCGATGGGTGTGGATGTGAGCATGGGTCTAGATGGGTGTGGTTGTAGATGGGTGTGGGCATGGGTCTGGATGGGTGTGGTTGTGGTGGCTGGGTGTGGATGTGGGTGTGGTCATGGGTGTGGATGGGTGTGGATGTGGGTGTGAATGGGTGTGGATGTGGGCATGGGTCTTGATGGTCGTGATTGTGGGTGAGGGTGTGGTCATGGGTGTGGTTGTGGTTGGAGGTGGGTGTAGGCATTTGAGTGGATGGGTGTGGTCGTGGGTGAGGGTGTGGTTGTGGTTGTTAATTGGTGGAGGTGAGTGTTGGTATTGGTGGGTGTTTGTCTGTTTGGGTCTTTTCATTATTACAATATCATCAAATACGTACCAAATTGGTATGAAGGACGCTCTTAAGTCTAACATTAAACTAAACATCATCATTTAAGCACAGTATCATTTACTACTTTAGTTACCTCTACTGGTATGTAACTTGCTGCAAAGCCTGCCTTCACGTCCTGATACGGATATCTTTGCAGAAACATTGTGTGCCTCTCTCCTCTCCCACCTCTGTCGCCACTGTAAGGAGAGTACATTGAATGTTTGTTTGTTGTTTAATGCTGCACTCAGCAATATTCTAGCCATATGTTGGTGGTCTGTAAATATTCAAGTCTGGACCAGACAATTCAGTGATCATCAACATGAGTGTCGATCTGCCCAACCAGGATACAATGACACATGTCTATTTACCAAGACATCGAGCCTGACCACCCGATCCCGTCAGTCGCTTCTTGTGACAAGCATGGGTAAAGGTATACCGGGTATTCAATAACACTACTATTTTTTCTATACATATTTTAACACTGGAGTTACTACATATGCAATATCACCATGGACATACATTGTTGATAACGTTTTCTTTGAACTAACATGGACCAGAAGTTATTTTGTGGGGCTTATCTATAGGAATGGCAATTGCATTTACAGTAGTTATTTTGACTTCATCAATAATATAGGTTATTTTTTTCGAACACCCATTTAACATTCATGCTGTTGAGAACTTTCTTAGGTTTAGTTTAGTTAGTAAAAATCACATGGAACAAGAATATAGGAACAAGCTAGACACATTACATTACATTTTCTTACCTGAAGATTCCCTGAATCAGATTCCGCAGATATGTGGCAAGATTGTCCTCCTAGAGAAATAATAATGAACTCTCTGTATAAATGCATCATCTAAACTGTGGACAATGTGAGACTCACTTACTGTCAGTTTCTTTCATATGCTAAAATATTATAAAATAAATATCATATATATGTATATTTATATTTATATATTCTTATTTAACACTTACCTCTTTCTGAAAGAATGCCTTTGAAATTTGCATAGTTTCTGGTAGATGAATATTGTTACTTTCTGGAACTGAATCAAAATATATTGTATAGTTGATGAAATTTAACTCCATACATAGAATATCATAGAATTTAGTCAGTGCACAGTTCAGAGTATAAAGCTTGTTAATGTTGTAATACATTATTTTCTGGCACCCTGTCCCTGTAGGTAACTCCAGGAATGTTATTAAGCATCATAATCATTGGTGTCTGCTTTATGGTCAATCAGTCTTTTCCTATTTCATCTCTAACTTTATCCTCAGCAATAATGAATGTGTTTGATCTAAGGTATCCTCACCTGTGTCCTCTTCACTGCCATAACCAGGTGGGGATGATCTTGTGTCACTTGCTGGGTGAATGGAAGTAAAGATGACATAGTATGTTAACAGTTGCAGGGAAGATAAATACTGGTACATTAATAATAATGTTTCATAACCTACATTTTACAGCAAAGGAATAAAAAATAAAAACAAATAATATGAATGAACCAACTGCCATGGTTACAATGAATTAACTTTATGCATGACGATGATTGTAGAAGAAATACATGCTTCTAGCAATAATGGTGCTTATATAGTAGATGCTAATATGTGTACTGACAGGGAAAGTGTTTGTGACAGTCTGTGTTCAGTGATTTAACACATTATACCACATACAGATATCTCTATGTACTGTCACTACAACAGTTCTCTTGCACTGTAAGGGTTGAAGAGGGACATTAATACAAAAGTACCATTAATAGAGTCTCACCATTAATGTTGTCCACGCATTGGCACACCGACAACTCCAAGTGACAATCCCTGCAAATTTGTCCTGAGAAAATGAAGATATTTGAGCAAATCAAGGCCGATATTAAGACTAATTAACTGTATATTAATTCCTAATTAATATTCCAAAGTATTTATGATATTCCAAACCATAGAACTTGGATATCTTATGCAATTGTAATCAATTACATTAACAAAACATGAACTGGCCGCCACACTTGAATCGAATTTGCCTAACTATGGTGAATGAAAAAGAAGTCCTCAGTAATTCATGATCTGATGGTATTTGTACATTATTGATCATAGCTGTTAACCACTTGTTTACTCATCTGCTGGTGTAATTCATATCATTTGAAAATAATTGTTTATGGTGTGGTTAATCTATTAATTTGTACTTACCTAGTTCATTCAGGCTCACATAATGGAACTCAGAGATATGTCCCAGGAATAGCTTCTTGGTTTTATCTTGTCTATTCACTGCCTTGATCGTGACGGGTGTGTTTCCGATGCTGTTGTGATTACCTCAATGTCAGCTTGGAGGAACTCTGCAGCACCAGGAGAACCAGGTGATCACCCCAGGTGCCAGGGGCCTCCATGGTTGAAAGGTAATCTTCCCATGACTGCTGTGTGCAGACAAACTGATCCAGTGGTGTTCCATCAATCTGCATGTACAAAATGTATCATTAATTATTATTTGAAAAGTCTCACAAGTTAGGTTTAATACTATAGTGTGATTGGGCAGCACAGTGTTTAAAGCATTCATATCTACAAGCCTCAAATCTAGATTCTGTTATTATCATTGGTAAATGGGTGAAGCCCATGTCTAGTGTCCCCAGGTCATATGTCATGATGTTAAACCAGACTTACTCTCTCAAGGTAAGATAACATGTCATACAAAACCACTGTGTATATTAAGTAATATACTAAAAACAAGTTTCAATGCTGGCTTACTGTATTGGGTGTGTCCTGATGCTCCACAATGTTGTCCCTAACCTCCAGAGCATTCATTTCCAAGTTCAGCACATGATAGATCTGGTCACTCAGGGACAGAAACATGCAGTTTCCTCCACCTGAGTTGTGTTTCACTACACGGCCCCTTTCCCTTGCCAAGTCTTCTAATTTCTGGAGAAGATGGTCATAAGATAGTGCTGTTGGGGTCATCATTTGTTTTTGTAGTGCCCTGACATTCATGTAGATATCTGAAAATATATGTCAAATTTCAGAATTGGTAATTAGACAGAAGGACATGGGCAAACAAAAATTCTTCAGATTTTCTTTCCTTTCTTGCTTGCAACTTATAGTGGTAAATCTTGGATTTGCTTCCTTTACCTGTGTTCAGACACGCATCAAATACGTTCCTTCTGCTTACCCGTGTGAGCTGTCATCTAATAATAAAGTACTTGATGGAAACTGATAGCCAGTGTTCTAAATTGTAAATATATAATATTGTGATGTTAATATTGGTATATGAGTTTGATATTGCTTATGTGTTAACTTAGTCTCGTCACCATGTGGCTGAAGTAATGCTGATGCTGCATAAATTTGTAACTCACACATATGTATTTATGTAAGTGATAACATACATGTGGAAACTCAAACAAGGATTGTAGTACCTGCACGCTTCCAATTAACATAAAAGATTATCCTATATAGTCCAAAAAGCATATTTGGTCAGCATGACTGAGCATCTATATGTGCATATTAAAGTAAACAAAAAGTTTGTGAAATGCTGAAATGTTAGCAAAATTAATCTCTTGAGCATTAAGGTTATTTTTAAAGTTAGCAACCTTTTGTATTTATGTGCTAACTACTTAATAACAGAATGTTTTGTGAAAGTTTAAAGGATATGGTGACACGTATATACTAGCAGTCTTTGAACATATGACCCTAACAGACTGCACCTGTATGTCTACTTTGCCTTCTCTTTTCTCCTTCCTTTTGCCTTGTTAATGCTGTAATCTGGCAAACAGATCGCCATGAAACTTTTTTTCCAATCCGCACCTTGTATTTGTGGAGCTTGTTGTCCACTTGTAAAATCTCACCCTCAACAGCTTTTGGAGAGGTGATCTTCTGCCCACCCCTGGTTACTCCTTTGTCCTTGCCCAGATGACGAACAAGGACAATCTCCCCCACTTCATACTGAGAAGGGGGATTGGTCTTCAAATGTTTATCCACCATTTTCGATGAAGATTTGTCTGATTTTATCAGGACTTCTCTCCTGATGTCTTGCAGTTCTTTCAATCTGCTAAGGGTCCCTTCACTAACCTAATAAAAAGTAAATAAATTATAAGACCATACATGCGTCCATACCATACCATACCATATCATATGCCAAACCATACCATACCATCTACCACACCATATCACACATGTCATACCTTACCATACCATTTGCAATACCATATCATATCATAGAATATTGTACCATACCATATCAGATGCCATTGCATACCATGCCATTCCATATAACATACCATATGCCATATCATATGCCATAACCATATCATATCATATGCCGCACCATAACACTCCATATGCAACGTCATGCCCTGCCATACCACACCATACGATACCATATACCATACCATGTACCATATATCATACACCATACCATACACCATGCCATAAACCATACCATATGTCATACCATATAACATAACATATACCATACCATACCATAGAGTATACCATACCATACCATATACAATACCATATACCATACCATATACCATATCATACACCATACCATATGATATGTCATACCATAACATACCATTTATTATTCCATACCATATCATATGCCATACTATACCATATGCAATGCAATACCATACCATATAATATAATACCATACCATATGCTATACCATATCATATGTCATACCATACCTCCTACAATACCCTACTATACCATACCATATGATATCATATGTCATGCCATATCATATGCCATACCATACCATACAAAATGCAATGGCCTAGCATACCATACCATGCACAACATACCATACCATACCATTTGCCATACCATATCATATGTCATACCATACCATATGCCATACCTTATCATACCATATCATATGCCATACCATACCATATGTAATGCCATACCATATCATAGCATAGCATGTCGTACCATACCATTTGCTATACCATACCATTTAATATGCCATACCATATCACATGTCATACCATATCATACCATACCACATACAACACCCTACTATACATACCATATACCAAGCTATATCACACATATCATATGCCATACCATACCATATGCAATGCAATTCCAGTCACCTGAGAATGTTCTTCAACAGTTTCATATTCTGCATTGCCTTCACATGTGTATCCATCCATACTTTTCCCTCCTGCTTTCAACAGCCTGGTGATATGGTGTGGATGGAATCCAAACATGGCTCTGTAAGGACTGCAACCTACAATATATATAATGCACAGTATCCCAGAAAACGCTTAGAACAAACCACAGACAAAAACAGCTTGTATCAGCATGGACTTGTTACAAAAAGTTACAGGTTACCAGTAGTGGGACTGTCATCAGTCATCAGGACTTACTTTCAGAGTATTTCTGTGGGATGAGATAATGCCATGATCAGGGCCATTTTCTTCGCTCTTAAATATCTTACCAATTGCTGAGTTGACCGATTCATTGTGAATGCGGCAATAGTCAGGAAGACTGTCTACCCAGGAGATATCATCCAGGTGCTGAAGGTCATACCGCCAAACAGTCCTTCCACACTCTATGTGAGCGCATCTTCCTGAAATTATGAAAATTACGTTTATGTTTGAAAATATCCTCTTCATTAAAGGCTTCCTTTAATATGCTAGCAGTGAAAATATTGTGTCAAATGCAAATACCTATTTTGACTTCTGTCATATGTTCCCATGTTGTAACAGGTGAGACTTGCCTTCACAAGTGTTTTTGAAGGGTGCCACTGCTCACCTTTTCACCTCTGGTATCATCACTATTTGATGATGATTCATGAACACATACAATCACATGCTGATGATATAGTGGGAATCATACATTCGACTCAGCATACATCTGATTTCTTATTGATGTGGAAAGGTTTTTGTTGCTTTTATCTTGGGAAACATATGTGCAGGGGTGGTGAGGTAGCTTTTGACAGTTTTCTTATGAATATCAAAGGGGTTTAGTTCCATTATTTGTTTTCATCTGTATTTACAGATATATCACCACTGTCCTCCATGGCAATCATTTTTATCCATTACACACACCCCACCCACACCACCCATAAATTATGAACGGTCCCTCACTACAACTATAAGGACCTACATGCAACATGCAGCTTGGCTGGAAACAGACTCTACCTGTTATTATTGAAGACAATTTCTTACCTTTCCTTGAGACTGTGGGTGGTAGGCTTGAGAATGGATGAGCCTGACTCCAAGTTTTTCACAGAGTGAATTCATCATGCCCTTAAACTCGCCACCCTGATCTGTTTGAATAATTTTGGGAGCACCCCATTGGTGATCTAAGTACACCTGCACTAAACTTTTAACAACACTCTGTGATGTTTTGTCACATAATGGCCTAAGCCATAAAAACCTAGAAAAAACGTCCAATATACACAACACAAAGCGATAGGTGATCCCATCTTTAGTTTCTAATTTGCTGCTGAAATCTACTAAGTCAATTTGGTGTCTTTCAAAGGTACACATGCTCTCACAGGTTTTAAGGGTGCCTTATTTTGGAAGGTTGGATGCAACTTTGTCAAACTGCTGCTTCTCTGGATGTAACGTTCTATTTGGGGCCTGCTTATTCCATGGAAATGCTGAGATGTTGTGGAATATAGGCGTCGTGCTCCGCCCTTTTGTCATTTGACAAAAGGCTTCTACAAAATATTCTCTATTTCATCACTTTTGGGGACAATTTTACCCAGTGAAAGGATTCTCTTTTCTTTTTCACCAGAAACCTGGTTGTGAATATCTTTGAGACAAAGTTTATATTTGCTAATTTTCTTATATGCTAATTTTTGAATTAAAGATCTCTCTTTCACTGGAACATTGATGCTTGCAGAAAGTATGTCTTCCACTGAATTGTAGAGCTCTGGTGACAAGCATGGAGGAGGCATTGTGTCCTGAAGGAAGGAAAAGAATATTTAATTATTGTTATATTTGGGATTACACTTTCTTTGTAAAAGAATATTGATCTTGTGACATATTTTTTCAATTAACTGTATCAGATATGTTATTGATCATACTTTTATGATAGAGCTCAATAAATTTTAAACATTCAGTATTTATAGTTAAGTTGATTATAATTTTACTCTTAGTAAACATAATTTATTCATCTAGATGTGCAGCTTTTTTATAACATTTGTAAAAAGTTACTGCCCGAGAAAGGTAAAATACTGATATGAGCAAATGCTATAGAAAATATATGATATATTATCCCATCGATGACATTATGTACTTGGAGGTTTGGTACAGAGTAAGAATACATGAATTGCATCTCTTTCTCCACTTTCTGATGTCTTATTAGTATTTATTAGTATTTTCCTGGTATTTGGTAGTGATATGTACTGTAATTTTGTGTCAAACATAATTCCTAGCACTTACCTTACCAGTCAAGGGGAAAGCATGAACAGATTTTAATAGAACTACCCACTGATACAATACAGATAATACAAGTCTAGTCAATGTTAACTTATTAATCTTGACATGTTATGAAATAAGTAATAGTTGCCAAGTTGATTTTAAACTTTCTTCTGAGTTATACAGAATTTTGTATATGCCTTCAATAAATTGACCTAATACAAAAGGATATTTATGAAATCATGGTATTATAATTTCCTTTATACTTGAATTTGGAATATAGGTAATGACATTTCAGTCATTTGGTTGTTATTGTTTATATCTTTGATGTATCTGTAAATTCATATTTCTATATATCTTTAATATGTTAAACATTTCTCTTCAGTGAAAACCAAGACTCGATCTGTTATTATTATTATATTCATTCTGCCATATCAATGGCTAGATTGTAATTTCAGTTATGTAAGCTATTCTTCATTTTTATATTATCTTCAGTATTTAAAATAACAGTTAAAAATAATATTTCTTAGACATTTGATATCAGTTTACCATCACATTTTCCCCCTTTCTGTGTTGCTGATTTTTTGGGTGATGTCACAAATTAATTCATGTTTGTTTCTCATTCTACAATTGAATTCCATGTGATATCTGTTTTCCATGTTATTTTCTGTTGATATTTTTAAGACCTTGATGACATAACTTCACTTATACTAAGGAAGTTTTTTCTTATTATTTCTGAATGTTTCCTTTAAATGGCTCAATAAATCATCAATTTTTCACATTATATTTGAAAAGTCATTTTCCATCTTACTCACATCAGGATCAGTAACATATAATTCCTTGTTCAACTTAAATATGTTTCTACTCTACTGTTTTGTTTAAGTTCTCTTTTCAATTCTCTTCAAGGTTGGGCGAGGTTATAAATATCTACTTCATTTCTAGGTTCTGGATTGTTTATGCAATAATGTAATTGCCTAAATCAGTTGTGGGGTCACAAACTAAAGTTCAATCATTATGCTACTATACTGACTCATTCTCAGATTCTTGAAAACAAATAGGGTCACCATTTGTAAGAGTTAATCTAAAAATATCAAAACCTTCCTCATATGTGCTTTTTAATTGTGTTCATAGCAGTTATTCTTGAATGGCCTCATCAAGATAAACACAGGGTAAATAATTTTCATTGCCATAGTTTCTCTTACAAATTCCATTGAAAACTCATGCATATAATTCAATTAAGAAGGATAACAATAATAATATATAGAATTACAATGATAAGTATACCAATAACATTCCTTCTCAAGAATGTATGACAGTGTAGAACAATCTAACCAAAGGACTAACTGAAAGTTAACTTTGTAAGTTGATATTACAGCACAGTGCAGTCAGTGGCAGATTAACTTACCTGTTTGTGTGAGCATTCAGGTGATGTTGACCATTCTTCTACTTTGAAGTTTTTTTCAGAGACTTGTTTCTGTATCAGTGCCTGTACTATAACAACTGTTCTTGAAAGAAAACTTTGTACTGTCTGATAAAGGCATTGAATAGTCTTTGGTTTTATACCCAGAGGTCAAATTTCTTTACACTGTTAATTAATTTCAACAACCTTCAGCTAGTTACCAGTTAGACACTGACACTGACACTGGGGATGGTTAGAGAAGGGAGGGGTGTCTTGGCATCTGAGGGAGGAAGGGGTGCAAGCAGTTCACAGCATAACTTGGTGGCATTTTAGGCAGCTGTGATTCAGTGATTGAGAAGGCACATTCATTTGTGACATGACAGTATCTGTTCAAGTATTTACAGCAAATAGGTCATCAGTTTGGTTTAGATGTGTCATGTATATGCAGGATTTAACTTTGCTACTAAAGTTGTTTGCATACATTTAATTCAGTTTACCACAAGTTTAATACTTTGTAAATATAATCTGGACATAGAAAAGTATTTTATGAATAACATCAGGTTTGCTACATTTTAAATGCACACCATAATAGGCTTGAGCTTTTGGTGAAGAGCAAGGTGTGAGATGAATATATTACCTATTACCTATTGGTATAACCTTGCACAGTACATGATGGTGTATAACAAAGAATCATACGCCACCAAAGAAGATGCTTTCCTTTAACATGAATGCTGTAAGTGACATTTCATTATTATCAACAAGTATCATTACATATCTAGGATGCATTTCTCACATTTACTGCAAACATCAAGTTGTATATAATATGTATTGGAGAAAGAAAATTCCTCTATTTAATAATCCAATGATTATATGTAATATGAACATTTCACTTAATTCATACATGTATATAACTCTAACAGTTGATTTTACGAAAATATCAAGTATGTAAATCTGATGACATTATGCAAAGGTTGATTATGATCACCGTATAGACAAATCGCCATTATCTTTGGATGTGAGTGTTTGTCTCTTCTAGACTTGCTTGAGCTAAATTGTTAAAAGTGGAAATTCCTAGTTAAAACAGAAAGGTTCATTGGTCTGTTAATGGCTGAAGCAACTGAATACAGGCTAGCTAGTGCAGCACTGACAGTGCAGACTTCCCATAAACATATCAACTGATGCTTCCCTAATTGCTACTGAGTAGCTGTCTGTTCAGATCTGCTGCTGCTCACTGGATTGTTGATATATGAATTCCAAGGAGAAACTGACTCCATGGAAGCTGTGAGAACCTCTGTTAATTTGAGCAAGGTGATTAGCTCATGTAGGGAATTTTGTGGGAGAAATAATAATACTTTGTGAAAAGATTTGTAAATCTGTGAATCAATTTTGAGTGGAATGTATATGCCTAAGAGTAAGTTTAGACAGGAATGTAAATAGATAGTGTGTCTAAGTTTTGACCCTTGTACAACATATATTTTAATGTTAAAGTTGGACCCATTAAAGCATTAGGTGTGAGGTTTAATGAATGTGTCTACTGTTGGACAAGTGATCTGCTTGATTGCCATTTTAGAAGTTAATAATAAGAAAGGTATGATAGTCTATGGATAACAACTTCTTTATTATATCATATTCTTATTTGACAAGTAATTTAGGAATGACTTTTGAGTAAGCTCTTACCTTTAAAAGTTTGGGTGATAGACTAGCATGTTCAGCAATCCAGTGATTTTAGTTGTAAATTTGATAAAAGGAACTGGA